TTCAGATTTATTAGCCTGCATCGAGAGGTATAAGAATGTAGGGGATCAGAGAAATGGAGCGAGGCAAGAGCGAAACAAGTAAGCCCACTTTGGACGGTTTCAAGTCTAGAAGAATGCGTAAAATAGCACAGTCCAGCTTTGAACGAACCACAGAGTTATATAAAATTTTACGCGTGTACGTAGTCTAGACGTAACTGAGTTCAAAATACTCGTTAAGTTGCAATTTATCCATCCTAGGCTCTTTCAAAATATATTTTTATCGTACATGCATACCTCCCTAGTTTTAGCCAGCGACCAGAAACCAATTTATTTTCGAAATTCAAAGCAAAATATTTTGAATCGAACTTTGCTTAAACTAATCCTATTCGACAATAAAACAGAACATTTGTTATAATTATGACAAATTACTTATAATTCCATGAGTAATGTAAGAAAACTAAGTGTTTGGTTGTAATTTTTTTAATTTAATTTGCCGTTCACAAATTCATAAACAAAAAAAGCAAAACACAAAATGAAGTATTTTCAATTAATTTGAGCTTATAAAGCCGCAATCTTTCGAAATCCGCTTAGAATGAAGAGAAGAAAACGACATTCCTGCAAAGAGTCGATGAACAGAAATAATACAAAAACTAAAAAAAATTACAAAAAACAATAATAGCGACGTTTAAGTCAAGCAAAAATCAAAAAACTTAACTGACAAATGAATTTTTGCCGAAAAGCTGGTAAATAAATAAAGCACAAATATTGCTTTAGTCCGCAGTAGATGAGGCAAACAAAAGAAATTTAGTATTTCAAGTTTTTGTTTTGTACTTTTATACATATATTATTGGCGCTTTGTAACCGATGAAGTGATTCTCGGCCGAGCTCCTCCTCCAAATTGTGGTTTTGCGTCTTGATGTTTTTCTAACAAATGGAACGAGGAGCCTTTATTTCATGTCCGAAATATAATCGGAGGGGTGGACATTCCCTGCCGGGAGACGACTGCAATTAGAAAATTTTAATTAATTTTTCATTTAAATAAATTTTCTATAACTTTTGACTGTTGGTCGCACCGGGATTTGAGCTCGAACCTTTCGAATTGCAGTAAGCAATGCTAAGCACTAGGCTACCACTACCGCGTTTTTGCGTTTATTGTGATAAAATTTCTGTAATTTTTTGTACATATTGTTATATTATTGTTATAGTAATTTATATTTATTCTGTAATTATGTTTTACATAATTTAATATACCTTTTTTAGTTATATTTTTTTCTTTTATTCCCATTTATTTTATTTTATTTTATTTCATTTCATTTCATTTAATTTCATTTTATTTTATTTTATTTTATTTTATATTATTTTATTTTATTTTATTTTTTTTATTCGATTTTATTTCATTTTTTTAATCGATTTTATTTTTTTCATTTTATTTTATTTCGTATTATTTTAATTTATTTAATGTTATGTTATGCTTTATTATGATGTGAAGTTTTTTTCTTTATTTAATTTTTATACTCAAAAAAGTGCATTACAGTACGTACATATAAAAACATATTATAGTTTCTTTTTTAACAAACGCACACTCACATGCCGTATAAATATAAAAAATACAAATAATTTAAGCGTCAACCATTAAATGCGCTAACTTCGCTGTAAATGTTGTTAATTTGTTAAAATGCCGCTGCGTGAATATATATAAAAAAACATATGTGAGTATGTGAATTATAAATATATATATGTGTACGCTTAGCAATTTACTTTTGCAACATAGCGCCGTGTGCGTCATTCGCCGTCGTCGTCTTCAGTTAAAAAGGTGCGTTTCTGCAATTGCAACATCTGTGGTTGCGCATGAGCCATTTCATGTTTTTCTGTTCGTACTCATATGTGATATTTCTAAACACACATTTATATATCATTACATATAAATGCAATTTCAAGAATACATATGAGCTCATACGAATAAAAATGTTCACATAAATGGCAATTACCAGCTGCAATACTCAAAGCACTGTTTGAATGGCCGATGGTTGAATGGGGAACGTCCAGTCTTCAAGTGGCTTATGCATATAAGCATGCAGGTATGTATGAAAGTACAGATAGTTAGATATTGCGCGAGCACACATTATTATTATATGTTTACACGATAGTACAAGATTAAATATAGTTTTCCGTTATGGGAAAACCTATTGACGCTCCTCACGTGTTTGAGTTATAAATGAGTTTTTGAAAAAAAGTTGCAACAAAAAACTGGAGGATTACATTAAATAGGTGGAATAAGTGTGTCAAAATGTTTTTAGTTTAGAATTGGAAATAAATAATTGAAAATGGAAACATTTTGTAGAAAATATGAATTAAAACTGAATGAAAGAAACTGAAGGAAAATATTAATTTTGGCACAACATTTCTGGTTTTTTAAATTTTTCTCAAAATTAAATAAGCGAGGTGTTAACTGCAGTCTTTGAGTTATTGTTCAAATAACTTTTTCACTTTAGAAAACATACTTTCTCACTGTGAATTAAACAAAAATAGCGGTTATAGTGCTTCTCGACACAATTTAACGGCTTCAGATAAAACTGATACAGGCCAAATTTCGGAAAACGAAGATCTCTTTCAGAATTTACCAAGACTTCCATTACGAATTTTTATCTTCGAAAATCTGTTCCGAAATACACCAAATTCTATATAATAAATTAATCGTCCATTTTCAAAACTGCTGATTTTTACAGTGGGGATTTTCAAAGCCTTCTGATAGCAGTTTTTTCAATTAATAAATTACTTTTTCACAATATCTCTATAAAAAAGGATTAAGCCTTGAGGTATAAGTATAAATAAAATCTAATTCTTTTTCATATCGAAAAGAAATTTAAGATCTTTAATTATAAGCGCTGTCTATTATTTATTAAATATTCTGCGTTAAATTTTGTACGGCATATCTTATTTCTGGGCCACTTTGCGGTGGAAAGAATTTGTAGAACATAATTATGTAAATTTTATTAAAGTATTTTAATAGAAATACTCTGAAATTTAGCAATTTTGCAGTCACATAAAAAATTTGAAGAATTTGTACACTTATTTAAGCATAAAATTTAACTATAAAATTCCCAAAGTCTAAAAAAACATTTATTTTTACCACACACCTCTTTAGGTCTGAACAAACGTACTTGCCACTTTTTTATGTATGTAAATAAATGCCTTGCATTTCATTACTTAAATAAATGTATTTTTCAGCAACTTTCCCACGGCGAGAAAATACTTAAAACGTGCTTACGTACATGCATATATAAAACAACAAAAATTAATATGAAAAATTAGCAACAAATGCAAGGCTACGAGTACGAATATTTATGTTTACATGTTGTTAAATTGGTTGAGTTGTTGACTTTTGAAGTTTTGCACGTAGAAGTTAAAAGAAAAAAGACAATTTGCAAAATTTGTGAACATGACCACAAAGTGATGAGGCGTAAAGCTTTTTGTACATAATATTACCCATGCAGAAGGTTTTGTTTTGTGTCTAATAAAAGGTGCGTATGTGAGAATGAACTAAGAACTCTTCATTTAGAAACAAGGATTCAAATCAAAATTGCTCTCAAAAGTTCCGAATTAACCTTAATTTGTTCTTTTACTTTTATTTTAAGCTTTTTTTCTCATACTTTATTCAATTTAAGGATATTTTTGTGTTTTCTTTTGATTTTATTACGTTTTATTTTAATTTTACTTTCTAATTTATTAAACCTCATCTCATCTTATTTTAGTTTAATTTGTTTTTTTATTTCTACTTAATTTTTTAATTTTTTTTTTGTTATTTATATTTAAGATTTTTTTTGTTAATTTTTTTTATTACCTTTTATTTTATTTAATTTATTTTCTCTAAATTATTTCTATTTAATTTTTTAGTTAGATTTTTTTATTTAATTATAATTTATTAAACTTGATCTTTTTTTCATTTTATTTACTTTATTTTATTTGACTTTTTTATTAATTTTTGTATTTTATTTTATTTTAATTTAGTTTCTTTTATTTTATTTATTTTTTACTTTATTATATTTTATTTTGTTTTATTTTATTACCTTTCATTTTATTCTATTTATTTTCTCTAAATTAAATCTATTAAATTTTTTAATTCATTTTAATTTATATAATTATATTTTTTTTAATTTCATTGAATTTTATTTTTATTCATTTCATTTCATTTACTTTATTTATTTTAATTTATATTATTTTATTTTTTTATTTTGTTTTATTTTATTTTATTTTATTAAATTTTATATTATATAATTTTATTTTAATTTATATTATTTCATTTTGTTTTATTTTGTGTTATTTTATTTTCCTTTCGTTTTACATGTTATGTTTTGTTTTATTTTATTTTATTTTTATTTATATTATTTTATTTTATTAAATTTTTTATTATTTAATTTTATTTTAATTTATATTATTTCATTTTGTTTTACTTTGTGTTATTTTATTTTCCTTTCTTTTTATATGTTTTGTTTTATTTTATTTTATTTTATTTGATTTTATTTTATTTTATTTTATTTTATTTTATTTTATTTTATTTATTTTCTTTGATTTTATTTTATTTTAACTAAGAACTTGTACTTTGTACATGAATAATATTTTAAGCATTGGTAAACAGTTAAAAGCTCATGAATATGCAAAAATTCTTTTTTTTTTTTGGTTGTGCCGAACGACTGACCTTTAAAGTTTCATACATTGACTTTATCAGGGTCTTTGTAAAAAGAGTTTACTAAAAAAGGCAAAAATGACAGTAGGTGAGTATGTCACACATATATATGTATGTCTGTTAATTTATATGCTCATTCCAAAAGCAATGCATCCGCGAACATAAGATTATTGTTGACACATAACAACAACTGCCAGTACAGTTGCTGCTTACTGACATTTCATTGCCACTTCTTGCTCATTTGATTCTTATTTTACAAAATAATTTAATTTTTATTTTTTTTTATTGCTAAAATTTACATTTATTCATTATTTTATGCAACAATTCACTTGCTTACATTGCTAGCCAGCGCTTGGTTGCCTTTTCACTTCTTTAAAAGGCTTTCTGTGCATATTTATAGCGTTACGTGTTTAAGTTTCGAAGAACTGCATTTTTTAATAGTCTTTTTTCTCCACATAATTTCTTATTTTGTCTTACTTTGCACGCCACAATTCAAAGAATTTCTGTTATTTTAAATATTTTCCACACACCACACAAGAATAGTCAATTTCAATTCTTTTCCACTGAACTTGATTTAAAACTCCGGTCAGCTGTTCGGTAATGCCACCGCCATATACTTTACACTCGCGGCGCACGCTCAATAACTCAGGCTCAGCTGCTTTGCACCACAACTTCAGTCTAAATCGTTTACCGGCAGACTGATTGGTCTGTCTGTTGAAATGTTGGCCGGTAGGTAGGTAAGCTGCTGTTGATGCTGCCGTTGTGCTGGTGGTGCTTTTGTTGTCATGGCAAAGTGGTAAAACTTGTTTTTAGTTTTTGCTTTTTTGTGTTATTTTTTCAATTTTTTTTTTGTTAATATCTGAGAAAGCCCATAAAGTTCTTGAGTCGCTTTTATTTTTTCGTATTTCTTTCTAAGTTTTTTACATTTTTATTGATTTTATTTTTTTTATTTACAATTTTTTTTAATATCATAATTTTCTTCTTGGTTGGTTTTTACTTATTTATTTGTAGACTGAGAAAATAATATCTTAATTCAATTCATATTTTGTGAACAAAGTGGAAAAAAATTATTTAATATTTATTAAAAAGGCATTAACTATATGCAGAATAAATTATATTGAGTTGAACTACGTTTGGAAGAGTCTAGGCATTAGATTCTTTATGAGAGTAAGTATACCCATCCGCCGGCTGGGTATTCGGGGTAAGATCACAACTTTTTTTTATAAACTAATTTAATTCTATTTAATTTTATTTTATTTTGATTAAATTTATTTTACTTCCATAAATTATTTTAGCTTATTTATTTATTTCTATTAGCTTATTTAATTTAAGTCTTTTTTAGTTTATTTTGCTTTGTGCTGAATAAAAAAAAATTTTATTTTATTTATTATATTATTTTATTTTATTTTATTTTATTTTATTTTATTTTATTTTATTTTATTTTATTTTATTTTATTTTATTTTATTTTATTTTATTTTATTTTATTTTATTTTACTTTATATTAGTTTAATTTATTTTATTTTATTTTATTCTGTCCTATTTTATTTTTATTAGATTTGATTTGAATATATTTAATATTTTTATTTGTTACACATGCTTTTATTCTGCACTTTAATTTGACTATAATTAAAAAAACGAGGTTTGCATTTATTCAATATTTTCATAATTGACCGACGAAACATCAAAAAAGAAAGAAATAATTATTTTGAGACATAAAATCACAAAATAACACAAATTATATTCTTATACAATAACAATTTGTACACACTTAGAGCTGACTAATACATAAATTTCGTACATAATTCCATTTTTATAGTTTGTAGCAATCAAAATGACTTCATTATTGACGTTAAATTTTGTTAAAATGAGACAGTTGTGAGGCTACCACATGCTGAAATGTTTTAATGACCCAAAGATTGCTACACTTTACTTGCCATTTCATTTTCTCCTTTTTTCCTGCAATTTTATTTAATTTCATTTTATGCTCAACACTTTAAGTTGAAAAAAGAGAAAAGCACCAACACTTAGGAGACTGTCCGCAGCACCATTAATTCGCACTGAGTGAAACGTAAAACTTTTGCATTTTTCTTGGCGCTTTATGCAGCAAATCAATGAGATAATCACCCAACAAAATTGACTGACATGTCGATAAACACATTAAGCGAAAATTCCAGCTGTTAATCGAGCAGCGAGTAAATGTGACCGCCCGACCAACCCAATATCGAGTGGCAAATAAGACAATCCACAACAGCGCGTTAAGCGGGGCTACAGCAGCGAGAAACGCAATGACAGAGCAATTCAAAGCAGCGATTTACGGCGGGCAAAATCATTTACATCCTGAAATTGAAATCACCTATACACGGGTATGCATGTAAATAAGCTGCTAAATATTATTAGACTGCTTCGCAATACACCAGTTTGCTACTAGAAATCACGGACTGAAATTGAAGTGGTCCTAAAAATACAATAACAATAATTTATTTTAATTTGTTTATTGCTTTATATTACTTTATTTCAATTATTTTTAAATTACCTATTTTTATTTTATTTATTATCTTTTACATAATTTATTATATTATATTTTATTATATTATATTATATTATATTATATTATATTATATTATATTATATTATATTATATTATATTATATTATATTATATTATGTTATNTTTATTTTATTTTATTTTATTTTATTTTATTTTATTTTATATTATATTATTTTATATTATTTTACAATATTTTATTTTAATGTATATTATTTGATTTTTTTTTTATTATATTTTATCTTATTTTATTTCATTTTTATTTATTTTCTTTTATTTTATTTTATTATATTTTATTTTAGTTTATATTATTTTGTTTTTTATATTATTTTAATTTATTATTCTTATTTTTTTAATTTTACTTTAGTTCAATTTTTTTATTTCATTTTATTTTATATTTTATTTTATAAATATCACTTTATTTTATAAATATCACTTTCACTTTATTTTATTTTTAAAAATGCATCATCTAGGTGCGCCCAGAACTTCAGATACCTCACTGTTTCTTCGGTCTTTACGATCTCGACGAAGATTTTGATATCCACCACGAGGGGGTATGTTTTGTCGTTAGCACGATGAGCTGGGTCTTTTCCGTTGCTAGTTTGAGATTATGAAATTCGAGCAACGCCGTCGATCTGATCATTACTTGATTCAGCTTCCTTTGGCGTTGTTCCATGTCGTTGGCTGTTATGACTACTGCATAGCCAATGAGATGAGTGTCGACCGACATGCCCGGACGCAGTATTCCGTCGTAGCTGGCGTTCGAGAGGTCAGTATCAAGGACAGCTGTATACCAAGCGTAGCAAATAGAACCATTTTTCTGGAGTTGTGTTGTTATTAAAAATGAGGAGATATGATTAATTGAAATTTTTATGCTCTCTGGTACACTACCTGGGAAGTAGTGTTTAACTAGTTTCAAGCCGTCCCATGAATAAATCATTTCACTGCCGGTATTTTGCAAACAAATGTACGCATTTGTGCACTTACATATATTTGCGCACATAAATCGCGCTCGTTAGCATATTGCGTTACCCAGTCGCCGTCGTCGTTGCTGCTCTCGCCGTCACAAAACGCTCTGCCACACCAATTAACCTGCCACAATTCAAGCGGAGCTTACTTAGCATTCGTGGGCAATTAAAGTCAAACGCTTAAAAAGTGAGAAGGAAAAAAGTAAATGCATAAAACAGAAATGTTTAAAGATTAAAAAAAAAAAATTTTTAAACAAAAACAATAAAAGCAGCATAAACTCAGAAAGAAATCAATTAAACTCGCTCTGGTATTTAACTGCCCGAGTTGCAGGCGCATGTTATTGCTCTTACCCCATGCGTTCACCCGCCTCTCCTTCAGCTATTTATGTACATATGCGAAATGCACAAATGTGTTTATTTTATCTGTGCAACGGCGGAAAAGTCGATATGCAAAAATTGGTGTGCGCGCCTGAGCAGTGGCGAAACGCTTTCACTTTCCGCTTCTGCGTGAAACCGTGCGAATGCATGTTGCATGTGCATTCGCGGCTTGCTCGAGCGGTGTAGGCCAAAAGCGCATACACACAATCAGTGCTGATAGTCAGGCGTTCACTTCTTTACATATGTTTGCTTGTAGTACATTCGGAAATGGGTTTCATGTTGCGGCGCCAAATTTGCCTTTCATTCGGCATACTTTGGGTTGGAGTATCTTCGGTGTGCTGACGCAGGTAGATGACTTGCAACTGGCTGGTACACCGGAAGAAGCGTTTATCGTGGCGTGAAAACTAAGACAAAGTCGAGTAGAGTAGCGAAAACTGAAAATCTTTAATGAACTTTAAATGAAAATACCGAAAGTGTTGTTCACCGGATGTAAAGAGTTTTCTATTCTTAATCGATATATAATCTCTCTATCTCTCTTTTTCTCTCTTTTCCTCTCGCTCTCTTCCTCTCTCTCTTTTACTCTCTCTCTCTCTTCCTCTCTCTCCCTCTCTCTTCCTCTCTTCCTCTCTCCCTCTCTCTCTCTCTCTCTTTTCCTCTCTCTCTTTTCCTCTCTCTCTTTTCCTCTCTCTCTCTTTTCCTCTCTCTCTCTTTTCCTCTCTCTCTTTGCCCCTCTCTCTCTTTGCCCCTCTCTCTCTTCCTCTCTCTCTTTGCCCCTCTCTCTCTTCCTCTCTCTCTTTTCTTCTCTCTCTTCCTCTCTCTCTCTCTTTTCCTCTCTCTTTCTTCCCCTCTCTTTCTTCCTCTCTCTCTTTTCCTCTTTCTCTTCCTTAGTAGTTATTAGTTATTACTTTTCAACTACAATAGAATTAAACCAGTCTGTGGCTGGATACACAAAGACGCGCGGTGTATGGGTTAAAAAAAAAAACCTTCACGTACCGGGTTTCCACCTGCGTGTCTCTGCTAAGGCGTATGGTGATTTGTGATGAAATTTGCATCACTTAAAGCAACGTTAACCGAAAACGCCAGGTAGGCTTTGTGAGTTGATTTCTTACGGCCAAACTCGTAAACCTGACCTTTAGCATCAGCAAGTGAACCGCATGGAGAAAGAAAACGCCCAAAACGCTCAGCTGTGACCAACAAGGGAGGAATTGCGTGTCATCAGGATAATGCCAGACCAAAAACATCGATAGTGACTCGCCCGAAGCGTCTACGGCGACTGGGTAACGCAAAATGCTAACGAGCGCGATTTATATGCCCAATCTGGGCTGGGAGGTTCTTATACATGCGCTTTAAAGCTGGGAGCTCGTATAACGTGACTAGTAACTGTCATCTGTTCCTTTCTAAGATTTAGGTTTTGGTAGAACTGTACGCCAATGGGTGAAAGGGTTTCTACGAGAGAGGCGTAAGGACATTACCTTCAAGGTGGCAAAAAGAGCCATGCGTATTGATGTTTTTCCTACAAATGGAGGGAGCTACAGTTTATTCTTCCTACCTCCAAGTGGCCGCTGGATTTTTATAAGGAGATACACTGAGATACACTGAGAGAGCTTGAAGTTCCTTACAAAAATTAATTTTCTTTAATTTTTTTTTGTAACCAAAACTCGAACTCAGATTTGCCGAATGCAACTATGTAGTGCATATCACTAATATAATACGGCTGCCATTAAGTGGTAAGAATTTTCAGCAGCAGCTGTAACCGAAATATCCATTGTCCAGCCATTTCATTAGCATCATACTAGTAAAATACTAGTTCACAATCTTTGAACAGTAATTTTCAATGTTGAATGCTAAGCTAGTAGTAACCTTATTTCATTTAAAATTAATTTATGTTAGGGCAGAATGATTCTAAGCTTCTAAAGAGTTTAACCGATTTAGTTTTCTGAATAAAGTAACTGGCTACTCTTCATATCGTAAAGATCGGTGAAAGGGGTTGGAAAGAGAAAAAGAACGGTAATGGTACTCTCGGGCTCACCGAAG